GCTGAGGGTTATCCCCCTCCTCCGCCTGACGAGGAATTCTGTCGTACTGTCAGAATGGGCTTTCAGAATATGGATAATTTGCAAAGGCAAAAACTTCTTGCTGAACTTTTAAATTCTTGTAATACTGAACAACTGGTTTTCGTGTCCAACTTCATATCGCCACGTTTAAAACGTGACTTTTTAAAAGATCTTCCAATTGAACTTAGTCTTCATATATTATCATTTATTAATGATCCAAAAACCCTTTCTAGAGCATCAAGCGTTTCAAAATTTTGGCGTTCGTTACTTAATGATGAGTTCACTTGGAAAAATCTTTGTGTACGTCATCATTTCCGAAGACGTAGTTCGATCGCTCCGGTTTTGCCACCCTCTCCTACTTTCGAATCACCTGCATCTAAATGCAGTAAATTTTCATACAAAGATCATTTCCGAAGGCGGTATATTGTCGAATCGAATTGGAAGCATGGTGGAAGGACACTTGTTACTCATATCAGCCCTGATTCAGGAGTAGTTACATCTTTACAAATGTGTCAAAATTATATAGTTGTGGGAATGGATAATAAAAAGATTCATATATTTGATGTATCCGATGGTAATTACATAAAAACATTGACAGGACATGAAGGTGGTGTGTGGGCGTTGCAATATATTGATGAAGTTTTAGTCTCTGGAGGCTGCGATAGGTAAACATATATGTTTTATTTAAATATATATATATATATATATATATATATATATATTTGTCTTATTTTTAATTACTTTTATAATTTTTAGAGAAGTTCGTGTTTGGGATATTATTACAGCTGAATGTCGTTATGTTTTACACGGTCATACATCAACGGTACGCTCTCTCAAAATGAAGGATAAAACCATTGCCGTTAGTGGTTCTCGTGATGCAACTCTTCGTGTCTGGAATATCGAAGAAGGGAGATTACTTCATTTGCTGGCTGGACATCAAGCGAGTGTACGATGTATGGAAATTTGCGATGATGTAGTAGTATCTGGAAGTTATGATTGCACTGCTCGTGTAAGTAATAATTTGAACAACTTTTGTCTATTTTAATTTCATCTCATTAATATATTCATTATAAATTTAGGTTTGGAACATAATGACTGGAGAATGCTTACATATTCTTCAAGGACATTACTCACAAATTTATTCGATTGCTTTCGATGGTGATAAAATTGTTACCGGGTATTTATATCATTATTATGAATTATATGCATTTATTTATCTTTTATTAATATATTTTTCTTCTGAAAAGATCTCTTGATTCCACCGCACGGGTTTGGTCTCGTCAAACCGGATTTTGTTTGGGCGTACTGCAAGGACATACTTCACTTGTTGGTCAATTACAACTTCATGGATCAATACTTGTTACCGGTGGAAGTGATGGTGCTATTCGTATTTGGGATCTTGAGACAAATCGATGTGTTCAAAATATTGCAGCGCACGACAACTCTGTTACATGTTTGCAATTTGATGAAAAGAGAATCGTATCAGGTGGCAATGATGGACACATAAAACTGTGGGATATTGAAACAGGAGAATTTATTCGTGAAATGACAACTTCAGGGAATGCAGTTTGGCGATTGGCTTTTCAAGAAACAAAAGCAGTTGTATTGCTACAAAGGGAAGGCAAAACTGTTATGGAAGTTTTGGACTTCGATGCATCGGAAACGTAGAATTAAGAATTATAAATTAAAATAGCTTTATAAACAAAGACATTAATAAACCATTTTTCTAGTTTTGTCAGGGTTATCTAATATGATTTATGGCCAGTTCTTAATATAGATTTATTTTTTTCATTTTAATGGCTTATTAGAATATTTTCTTTTAATTTGTATGTTGAGAGATAACGTTTTTAGTCAAAAACATTTGCATTAAAATGCATTTTTTAAAAATAAAAAAAAAGAACCAATTTTATGAAACTACACATATTGTATATATAGCAAACTTTTTTTGCATGCCTTAGATTGACGCCTTAGGTGTCGATTGGCCCAAGTTATGGTAGAGTTAGAGTAAAAATTATAGTATAATTCAGATTAATCAATGTTATATAATTAGTTAAAAATTTAATATATAAAACATAATAACTTAAATATTGTATAGTATATATATGTTGTGCCTCAGATCGATGATTGCTAACTGAGGTACCTCGGATGTCGATCGTCATATGAGATGCGTAACCTGTCAATCCGTCACCTAAGGTGCCCCGGTTGTCACCCGAAGTGCCTCAGTTGTCAACTGAGGCAAAATATATTTTAATTAAAAAATTTAATTGCAAACTTTGCCAAACTACACTTGAATATTTAAGAATAAT